CTCCTACTGGGGATGTGCCCGCAACCCAGGTACATGCCCTTGAACCGGAATCGACCTGGGACCTTTCAGTCCGCAGGCCGACGCTCTATCCACTGAAACCGGTTTCGGCAATAAAAACATATTTTAAAAAAGAAAAATTCTTTGGCACATTTGAAAACATTGATTCATTGTCTGTGGAAGTAATAGTGGACTATGATGAGTTCAAGTGCTGTCATTAATATTTTTATAAGATTTTTTTCATTTGCAGAGTTTTGGGGTTTCTTAATCTTGTATTAGGAAATATTAAAGACAATACAATGTATATATAAATATAAAGAATACTATAAAAACAACCCTATAACTACTACCCAACCTAACATAGAAATTAGCCATGCCTTCAAAGGCTTTCTGCTTACACTTTCCCCTTAAAACAGGTAACAACAATATTGAATTTTGCATTGTTCTGAGGTGTTTTAAAGAATATTTTTTAGGAATTTAAAAAAACGTAATATTTTGGGTAAATTTAATCTTGTTTTTTTAAAAGTATATTTTTGTTGATCAGAGAGGAAGGTAGAAGGGAGAGAGAGAGAGAAATATCAATGATGAGAGAGAATCATTGATTGGCTGCCTCTTGCACACCCCACACTGGGGATCAAGCTTGCAACCTGGGCATGTGCCCCGATCGGTAATCGAACCGTGACCTCCTGGTTCATAGGTTGATGCTCAACCACTGAGCCATGCCAGCCAGGCTGACATAACTATTATGTAAATAACTTTAAAACTATACTTTGGTTTACTTATGTTTTTCAGAAGGGTTTTGTTTAAAAAGCAGCTTGGTGTCAAAGCTGGAAGCTAGTTTCAGAAGTTTCAATGAATTGGGAGGAGTGAATATCGAGGAAAAGGATTTTGTGTGTACAAGGAAATTACTGGTGTAGTTTTTCTTTTTATTTACTAGGGAAAAGAAAACAAAGGGGTAGGATCTGAAAACTAGATCTTTAAGTTGTTCTTGGCAGAATTGGTACCAATTAAAAGACTTAATGAGCCCTAGCCGGTTTGGCTTAGTGGATAGAGCATTGGCCTGTGGACCAAAGGGTCCCAGGTTCGATTCCGGTCAAGGGCATGTACCTTGGTTTCAGGCTCTTCCCCGGCCTGGGCCCTGGTTGGGCGCATGCAGAAAGCATCCAATCAATGTGTTTGTCTCACATCCATGTTTCTTTCTGTCTTCCACTCTCCCTTAAAAAATCATTGGAAAAAATATCCTCCAGTGAGGATTAACAAAAACAAACAAAAGACTTAATGAAACATGCTTAAAAGATTTACAATAGCAAATTTTCTAAAGGTTAGAAGTGTTTGTTTTAACCATGTTTTTTAATGGTGAAGACTACAGAGGTCATATCCTATGTCTTATCTCGTCATTGTCCTTATTGCTGAGCCACTGAAATCTGGAATGTGGTTCATGCAGCATGACACTAACTTCCTTTTTGCTTGGTAGAGTTTGTATGTGGTCTTTCATGTTTTAGGAACTATGATCATTAAGTTCCTAGTTTTAAATGGGTAAGAAGAGTATTAATGCCTGTGGTATACTTTTAGGGGTAGTCATAATACATGTGTACACATACATATATGTGTGCATATTCACTAAAGATGCCTTACTGGCAATGGCTGCAAGTAGGGTATAAGCATTTAAATGATGAGTATTTAGGCTCAGAGTGGGCTCTGGAGACAAACTCTCTAAGTTCGTATCCTGGATTGGCACTAGCTAGTTCTGCAGCCTTGGGTAAGTTATTTAAAACTCTTTGTGATGTTTATCTATTAAATGGGGATGATAAAGGGTCTGCCTTATTGAGTGGTTGGAGGATTAAATAGGTTAGTGCATAGAAAGCACTTACAGCTGCGGGGGAGTGCTCCATGAATGTTGGCTGTTACTTAAATATTATATGTAATGCCTTTTGTTGAGAAACTTCTTTGTTTAGGTTACCATTTGTGTGTGGGGAGATGTTCTTTCTAGAATCATGTCTCCCTGTCACATGATTGTATGCAGTGTGAGCCTTAGTAATACTCTCAGCATTTGAGGTTGGAACGTATGTGGCCCTACCCAGTGGAATCCAGCAAGAGCAAGAGAGAGAACTAAGCACCGTAGCAACTGTTGCTATTTGTGTCCCTAGCAGCAGCTGCTCTGGACAGATTTATTTTTTAATCCTGATCTCACTGATACCCTGGGATGTGGCCCTGCCTTAGAGAAGTAGGTTGGTGTAGATGTCTGGTCTTTGAGGAGGTTTCATGACCACATGTTACAAGGATTCTATTCCGTGTGAAATCTGAGGAGCCAGTGCTTTATGTGTATGAGAAAGGGAGAGAGGCTAAGCCTCAGCAGTCAGTCCCTGAAGTGAACTGTGACAGGATTAATCACAGGAGAAATCACTGTTAATATGGGCAGTGAGACTTCATGCTTTTCAGTCAAAAAGTAATTTTGCTGTGAAAACATTCTACAGAAGATTTAGTGGTCTGTGATTCCACTGTACACATTCATATACACAAATGTACACACATACATATATGAACACTTACGTATTAGTTTGTCAGCTGTGGATTTCAGAAATAAGATTATCTTTCCAATGAATGCTTTATTACCAAAAGCTTTTCTGAAGTAGATAGAGCTTTAAAAAGAGTTTGTTTCAAATAGTGGCTAGATTGATTCAGTAATTTTCTAATTTTTATTTCTGATGTGTTGAAATATTTGAAGCCTTATGAAGCACCTTGAAGTAGTAATATGGCCCATTTCCAGATTTTGGTTGCTTTCTTACCTCGGGTTCACTCATAAAGTATTTAATGAGCACCTACTGTCTACCAGGTTCTGCTCTGAATCCTGGTGACACTTAGTGAATGTTACTGGTCTGATTATTTTCAAATTATATATGTAGATCATCTATTAAAAATGTGATTATTTTTGTTTTTGAGTACCCTATTTAGATTCAGCAGTATCAATTTACTGATTTGGATGTTTTGAATTTACCATATAACATCATGTTGAACTAAAGAACATGTAACTGAGTGACTTAAAAAAATCAAAACATTCTCATCCTCTAGGTATTGTTAACCCAAAGAACCCAAAGGAAGCTCCAAAGTCCTTCAGCTTTGACTACTCCTACTGGTCTCACACCTCGGTGAGTACACTCATGGTGCTGCAGGGGAGCAGGGTTTGAAGGGTTTTTTAATGTGTTTCAAAAGAACCTTCAGGTCCAACAAGGAAAACAGGGGTTACCAACATCTAGGAAAATGGAGAGTGGGGCCCTTCGCAGTATCCTTACTCAGTATAGAATCCTTTGTCTTGCTGGCTTCTAGGGCTTTTTCCTAAACTAGGGTTTGCTTCTGCATCTCCTTATTAGGCATTCTTTAATTCTTTATTTTTCCTATTTTGTGTTGGAAAAGGAGATGTTTTAAACCAGTGGTCACCAACCTTTCAGACCTCATGGACCACCAGTGTTCTGCAGACCACCAGTTGGCGACCCCTGCTCCAAAGGTTTCCTTAAACCAGCGGTCGCCAACCTTTTGGACCTCATTGATAAAGCCTAAGTGGCAAGGGAAGGATCTAGGCAAGGGGCTGAAAACATTCTTCACTGGAAGCTGTGTTGAGATACAGCCATACTACTGATAGCAAGTTCAAAAAGCATTTTTATATGTGGACTTGACCTTTGATCTCTTAGTCCCATTTCCTCTTAAGAAAATTTTCTTGGAGCTCCCTATGAATGGAAGAGTGATATTTGTAAAGTTATGGAAAATGAAATGTAATCATGTTAGATAATTTCATGTAGATATTTTTATGTATGGCTGACCTGGATAATGGATAACTCCAATAGTGCAGGCATGAGTATAAAATGAGAAAAATAACATGTAGGGGAAACTTTAAAAATATATGTTTTAGGTGATTCGTCTGATTCAAAGCACTTCTATTTATTAGAGCAGTAATCAAATAAGCATAGGAAAGAATATTAATAAAATGTCATTTATTTCTCCTTTTAATCTTTACAGCCTGAAGATCCCTGTTTTGCATCTCAAAACCGTGTGTACAATGACATTGGAAAGGAAATGCTCTTACATGCATTTGAGGGATATAATGTCTGTATTTTTGCCTATGGGCAGACTGGTGCTGGGAAGTCTTACACAATGATGGGTAAACAAGAAGAAAGCCAGGCTGGCATCATTCCACAGGTAAAAAACAAAAAAAAACAACGAAAAACCTCTGTTCCTCATTACTCTTAGTCTTTAATGGCTTTAACAATTATTTTTATTTAGGAAATGTTTATTCAGTGACTATCGTACTAGGCATGAAGATAAATCACCTCTCCCTTTCCCCCAGAGGAGCTAACAGTCTAGTGGAAGAGACTGACATGTATACATGTCTACTTTAAAGTTGGGAAAGTTGATTTTTTTGTAAAAGTTTTGCTATGTATCCAATGTTATGTTATTTTATCTTTTTAACAGTGTTACCAGCTTCTTCAAAAAGATAGTATGTAACAAGCTCTGTTCTGAATCCTGGAGACACTTAATGAATGTTGTTGCTCTGACTTTTTTTTAAAGCTCCTGTATATAAGTAGATCACCCCTTAAGAATCTGATTGGTTTTGATCACCTTGTTTAGAGATACTTTCCTTTTATTGTATTAGTTTAATACTATTATTTTAAGCTTGAACAGTGAAATTTCTTTTTTTTAAGAGCAGTTAGTCTTTTGATTTTGTATTATTTGGAAATGGAGAGGAGTTGTGACATCAGTATTTAGAAGAAACTTCTTTTTAAATAACAGGAATATGGCTTTTATTAATATTTGGAATTAATTTTAAAGAGGTTTGTTGTTTGTTTGTTTGTTTGTTTTACTATAGGCCTAGTGTGACCATCTCTATATTTTGAGAATAATACACAGAAGCAGTCGCTACTTTTTCTGATAGATTAGTGGACTGTAATTTTGAATTCAGCTATGTAATTGAAATGTTTAATTAGTAACAAAGATAAGAAAAATTTTAGAAAAAATGGGACATACTAATATACATATCTTTTTTCTGTAAAAAAATCTCTATTAAGACATACAGGGTGGGGCAAAAGTAGGTTTACAGTAGTTTGTGTGGAAAATAATACAGTAATTAATAAATAGTAATACAAGAAAAAACTTTCGCATACCCACGACTGTAAACCTACTTTTGCCCCATCCTGTATATTTGGGAATTGTCCTTATCTGTATATAGTAATAGCAACCGTTACAATGCGAATTAGAGAAAACATTCTGAAGCACTCCCTATGTGCCAAGCACAGGTCAAGTGCTTGACAAATACTAGCTCATCTAATTCTCCTCATATGACCCTAAGAGGTAGGTGCTATTGTTACCTCATTTTACGGATGGGGAAACTGAGGCATGTGGTCATATCACTTGTTCAGAATCCAAATGCAGGAAAGGTAGTTCTGGAGTCTCTGCTTTTACTGCTATGTAATACTTTTTGGGCAATAAAATAATTATAGATTACAATTATGTCAAGTTATACTAAATAGTCATATTTATTTTATCCTATTACCACACTTAGTTTCTCCTTTTTCCATTAATTTGTTACTAAAATTCTTGTATAATTACATATCTTTTCTGGTAGAATTGTGGAATATTTTATTTTTTTAAATATATTTTATTGATTTTTAGAGAGGAAGGGAGAGGGAGAGAGAAGAAACATCAACGATGAGAGAATCACTAATTGGCTGCCTCCTGCACGCCCCCTACTGGGGATCAAGCCCACACCTAGGCATGTGCCCCTGGCCGGAATCAAACCTGGGACCCTTCAGTCTGCAGGCCTACGCTCCATCCATTGAGCCAAACCAGTCAGGGCTGGAATATTTTATTTTAATAAAAATCCAAAAGTATGGATTTTTTAAAAGGTGATTATTTAGAAACTGCCTATTTTTTTTGTTGTTGTTAATCCTCTTCACGTGAGGATAATTTTTCCATTGTTTTTTAAGAGAGAGAGGGGGAGAGAGGGAGGGAGGGAGGGAGGGAGGAAGGAGGGAAGGAAACATACATCAATGTAAGAGAGACACGTTGATTGGTTGTCTCCCTCACAGACCCTATGTGTCCTAGACTGGGAATCAAACCCTTGACCCTGTGGTGTTCAGGCCAACGCTTTAACCAACTAGCCACACCAGCCAGGGCTAGAAACTGCCTTTTATAATAAAATTTAAATTCTACTTAGACTTCTAGAAAATCACAAATGAATAGTTTGTTTTCCAAAGTATGTTGATTTCCTTAATACTAAATATATAGCAGACGAAAATTCAGTAGACTTTAGTTAATTCTTTTAAAAACTTTTCACATTTTAAATAAATTCAAGGGGTAGGGAGAATGAAATTTTATAATTTTTCTGATCTATAAAAATTAATGTTTTCTGTTAGAAATGTCACTGTGTAGTAGAGTAGCCTCTCATAACAGGTTTGGAGTCTTAAGACAGAGGCAAAGGGGAAAGTTTTATAGTCAAAATGATTCTTGAAATTGCCTTCATTTATCCCTTCCCATATATATATAGAGAGTATTCTCTCTCTCTATGTGTGTGTGTATATATATGTATACATTTATAATGTATGTAGTAACTGATGACTTATAATAATAAAATTTATATATCACAGTAAGTAATGTGTGTGCAAAATATAGTTGAATAGTAGTTTTACTGCTACAATAATTCTGACAGAATTAGTTACTGTATTATAGTATGAAGAGTTGAATTTACATAAATTAAATGTGCCAGTGACATAATACTATGAGACATAATTTCCTCCCCTTCCTCTAAATGTGGCTTTCTTTCTAAGGCAAACATTGTTGAGATGCTGTTGTTGAAGGATTATATAGATAGGAAAAATGTATTTAAAACTGTCTTTTCTTTCACTCAGAGAACTCACCTTTGTTGTTGATGCCATTAATTTTGTGAAAAAAAAGAGAAAAGGGATATTACTAATTTGTGTAACAGTCCTGGGTAACTTAGTGCTTCTTTGGTTTATGCTCTTCATGTCTCTCTCATTCCGTTTCTGTAGTTATGTGAAGAACTATTTGAGAAAATCAATGACAACTGTAATGAAGAAATGTCCTACTCTGTGGAGGTGAGTACAGCCGTGGGTTAAAACCAGAGGCCTCCATTCTCCATTGCCTCAACTGTTGCTTTTAAATGGCTCCAAGTTATGACTGTACTATAGATCACTTAGCCACTCCCCCAGTTTTGTACTTTTAGGCTATTTCTAAGTTTTTGTTATAATGAATAATGCTCTAATTAAATCCTTATTTATAAGACTGGCTTTAATGTCATTGATTTCCTTTGTATATTTGTTGATTGTCAAAAAATGCATTTGAATTTCAGAAAGAAGCCCCATCAGGGAGTGTAAGCATCCAGTCTGCCTTTGCAAACATTTAGTATTTTCATTTTTGAACTTTGCCAATTTGATAAGGGAAAATTCCTCACACTTATTTAAATTTGAATTTCTTTGATTATTAGTGTGGTTAAACATCTTGTAAATGATGCCGATGTCGGTTTACATGTTGGGATTGCAATGTTTTTCTTATTTGTGTGAACTATTTCTCTTTAATATTATTATTAATGATTTTTGACAGGCATATATATAATCAAATCTCTTCCTCCCCCCCTTTATAGTTGCTTATAATCTTGGAAAAGTTAGTCTCCATCCATTGTATACCCTACAGTGGATTTTCTTTTAAGCAGAGGTTTTTAGAATTACTTTATATAGATTAGTTTATTTGATAAACATTTCCACTTTTTTTGTATGTGCTTTAAGAAGCTATTATTTTACACCCTCCCCATGTTTTGGTAGTTAATTTTATAGTCATTAATAATGTTAAAATGTTCTGACCCTACTACATGTATGGGCAACTAATTTTCTCTGAAGGAGCCAAAAACATAACAATGGAGAAAGGAAAGTCTCTTCAATAAATGGTGTTGGGAAAACTGGAAAACCATATGCAAAAGAATGAAACTAGACTGCTATTTGACACCATAACATAGTGTTCTGTTAACGTGAGCCTGTTCTGAGAAATTAAGCTGCTTTTAAAGCAAACTCTAGTTTTTTGTATTTACAAAAATGTATATGTTTGATTATCTATCGGACTTACACAATGTCTACTTGATCTACTTAGATGCTTTGGGTTTTTTTCCTTTACCTATAAAGTGTTGCATAAGTTGATAAGTTTTAAAGGATTCTGCCTGTGACCATTATACATCAAAAGGGGAATGTGCTGCTCTAAAAATATTTTTTGTTAAATTGAATTCTCTTGTCTCATCCTGTAGCTATTCTGTTTTGAATCACATGACAGAATTTTTTGAGCTTGTGGGTAATAAAAAAGAAGCCCTTTTCTTTCATATTAGTCTGCATTCATAGGCTTATTTGGACTGCAGCATAGATCCCCAGTTGATACTGTGGTTCCTTAAATTTATGGAACCTCTGCCTCATTTCTTGCCTTTCTCTTACTTACTCTGCTGCAGCTACACTGGATTTTTTTGCTGTTTCTAGAATACACCAGGAATGTTCCTAACTACAAAGCCTTTACTGTTCCTGAAATTTTCTTTTCCTGGATATCTTTTGACTAAGTTTTCCACCTCCTCCAGGTCTTCTGTTCAAACTTACCATTTCTTTGAGGCTTACTTTAATCATCCTATATAATAAAAGGCTAATATGCAAATCGACCGAATGGCAGAAAGAAAAGTTGCTATGACACACACTGACCACTAGGGGGCAGATACTCAGTGCAGGAGCTGCCCCCTGATGGTCAGTGTGCTCCCACACGGGGCGCACCACTCAGCCAGATGCCCTGAGCTGGGCTCACAGCTGGCAAACACAGTGGCGGTGGCGGGAGCCTTTCCCGCCTCCACAGCAGTGCTAAGGATGTCTGACTGCCCGCTTAGGCCCACTACCCAGGCGGAGCAGACCTAAGCGGGCAGTCAGACATCCCCCGAGGGCTCCCAGACTGAGAGAGGGTGCAGGCTGGGCTGAGGGCCCCCCCACTCTGAGTGCACGAATTTTGTGCACTGGGCCTCTAGTCTTTTATAATACTGCAACTTGCCTTCCACCCAGCACTCCTGGTCTCCCTTCCCTTGTCTCCTCCCCCCCCCCCCCCCCAGCCATATTCTAACCTATTTTATAATTTTACTTATTTTTTATGTTTGTTGTTTATTTTCAGTCTCCCTTCCTAGCATCATAAGCTCATTAGGGAGGGGATCTTTGTCTGCTTTATTAACTGATGTATGTCAAGTACCTAAAAAGACCTGAAAATGCCTGGTGCTTAATGAATTGAATTTGCCAAGTGGGGTCTGTAATGTTGGTTCATTTAGAAGTAAAATAAATAGTGGTGGCTTAGATGGATTTGCACATTAGAGAATACGTAATGGGACACATTAGCCTTTACCAGGTTATTTTGGGAGCTCTTAGCCTTATACATGTCTGAACAGGGACAAGTTTTCTAAGAACATGTGATATCTTCCTGGGATTCAGTATTGTATGTACAGGTTTAAGTACATGAGAATGATTGAAGTACCATCTCACTTTCTTGGATAACATCTTTTAGAAAGATTATCTGTTGTCCTGCTGTTTTACTCTCGTAATAGATCAATTACTTTATCTTTCAATGTCTTCAGTTTTTTTAAAGCTGATTTTGAAATACAGTATAAAAATACAGACATCTGAGAATGAAAAAGAGAAAAAGCCAATAGAAAGAGATAAGGTTCCATTTGAGATACTCTGAAAATGTGTCTGTAGAAATTTGAAGCTGAAAAATGCAGAAGTTACATTGTACGCTTGAGTAGCTCAGGGATACAGAAGTGTCTGATTCTTAGGGAAGCCGTATAATTAGGCTTACTGTGGTGAATTTACCCAACTTCAGAGCATTGTTGCTTAGAAATCTGATCTTATAGGTTCATTAGGATCAGACCATCATTCCTCAAAGGCAGACTCTTGAATGAAGCTCATTTGATTGATGTTCAGAAACCAGCAGATTTGTTTATTACTGTCCTGTGTGGAATAGCTATTACCCAGACCAGACACTCATGACTGGTATATTATCTTTCTGTGGGTGGACCTCTGTTGGAATGCTGGTGGTTTTTGGTGAGCATGAAATTAGAGGGAGAGGAGTTGATTAGATAGATGCTTAATTGCTTCAGGTGAAGAAATGATAGCCTAACACCGTGGTTGGCAAACTGTGGCTCGCAAGCCACATGCGGTTCTTTGGCCCCTTGAGTGTGGCTCTTTCTAAGCCTTAGGAGTACCCTAATTAAGTTAATAACAATGTACCTACCTATATAGTTTAAGTTTAAAAAATTTGGCTCTCAAAAGAAATTTCAATCGTTGTACTGTTGATATTTGGCTCTGTTGACTAATGAGTTTGCCGACCACTGGCCTAACACATTCATCTCCATGACAGGAATGGTCCTGCTGACAGGACAAGAATTCCTGAAGTACATTGTCTGAGGCTTCTTCCCCGTGAGACTTGGATAGGTCCTGCCATACAATCGGATTCTGTGCTGACCAGTCCTTACCTCTCCTGATAGACACATTTTTGGTCCATAATCAGTCACATTGTGGCCAGTCTTAAAGTACCGGTATTAGAGTCGCTGTCTCTTGTCTTAACTGCTCTGGAATATTGATACAGTTCCTTGGTTTTAACACTAATAGAAATATTGTTTCCAAGCTTTTGGAGAATGGCATGCATTTAAAACAATATTGACAACTGATAAGTTGCTCTTAAAAATGATATTTTTTTCTGCTTAAGACAGGTGGCAGTCACTGTGTGCTAAGATAGCCTGTGTACCTCCTTTTCCTTTCCGAGAAAGTCAGAAGGCTGGTTCTGACCTACTCAGTGATATCTGTGCATATAGTTAATACAATAAAAGGGTCTGGAACTGTGGCATTTCACTTAGTAAAGGCTGCTGATCTCTAATTACTTTTAATGAGTTTTTAAAAATCTTTTTCATGTAGAGGATTTTTTTCCTGAGTTCTCATTCATTAATAATTTGTTTCTAGGTGAGCTACATGGAAATTTACTGTGAAAGAGTACGAGATTTGCTGAATCCAAAAAACAAGGGTAATTTGCGTGTACGTGAACACCCACTTCTTGGCCCATATGTGGAGGATCTGTCAAAGTTGGCAGTCACTTCCTACACAGACATTGCTGACCTCATGGATGCTGGGAACAAAGCCAGGTATGGTAGGAAATAGACGAATGGCTGAGGTCTTTGGCACATTTTGAGGCCCTTTGTAGTTATGAAAGTTGGTGTTATTGTGGAGTCCTCTGATCCTTTGGCTGTGCTGGAGAAGTGAGGGCTTCAGCATATTTAGTATCTATCTTCCTATCAAAACAATGCACTGCTGGGGCACAAGGGAACTGCAGTTAAGTTTTACTATTATGTTTTGGTCAAGTTATGCTAAAATGTTGCTTATCACATGCCTGTGGTAGTAATTGATCCTGGAATAAATGAACGCCTAATAAAAATAAAAATTAAATGCCTCAGTGGTTTCCAAAAGGGACAACTGGAGTATGAAAAATGATTCTGAGGGGGTACCTTTGGAGATGGAGGGTAACTTGATAGACTCGTAGATAAAGTGTATTGAGAGCGTTTTGTGTGTAGTCTTGCAACCTGTGAATTAAAGTTGTTGCCTGTGATTGTTATGCCTGTAATGTGGAGCCTGCTGTCCCTTTTAACTTTTATCTAAGAATGCCATTGTCACGTGATCACCTTTATGTGTATTTAGGACAGTGGCAGCTACCAACATGAATGAAACAAGTAGCCGTTCCCATGCTGTGTTTACAATTGTTTTCACCCAGAAGAAACATGATACTGAGACCAACCTTTCCACTGAGAAGGTAGGAGAACTTCAGTCTCTGGGCTTGAGTTGTGCACAGGGGATTTTCGGACGTCCTGCTTGCTAGCCTCTGCATTTTGTGGAAGGGATTTTTACTTAATGAAAGGTATTTTATACCTTTTGCTTATCATTTTTATTCCTCTCTAGACCAGTTTTGAGTATGGGTTCCTAAGTCAAATTGCAATACTACAACCAGATATCTTATCTAGTACCCCAAAAAGTTGCCTCATGCTCCTTTGTAATCTAACTACATCCCTCCTTTCACCCCATCCTCAGGTAATCCCTGACTTGCTTTCTGTCACTATAGATGAATTTACATTTTCCAGGATTTTATGTAAATGGAATAATATAGTATAGTATTTTTTGTCTGGTTTCTTTCCTTAACATAATGATTTTGAGACTCATCTATGTTGTTGTGTGTATCAGTAGTTCACTCTTTCATTCTGATTACTATTTCATTATACAGATGACATATCACAGTTTGTTCATTAATTCATCTGTTGATAGGCATTTAAATTGTGTCCAGTTTTTGATCTTACAAATGAAGATGGTATTCATATTTGCATACAAGTCTTTGTGTGGATATTTGTTTTTGTTTCTCTTGGTTTATACCTTGAAGTAGGATGATTGAATCTTATGGTAAGTGTATGTTAAGCTTCTTAAGAATCTGCCAAACTGTTTTCCAGTCTTCATTGTAAAATGACATAATGAAACAATATCATTTTATATTCCCACCATCAGTATTTGAGAGTTCCAGTTTCTGGAAGCTTCATTTTTAAATTTTTATTTAATTTTTAAAATCCCCACTCGAGGATATGTTTGTTTGTTTTTTAAATATATTTTTTATCGTTTTCAGAGAGGAAGGGAGAACGGAGCAAGAGATAGAAACATCAATGATGAGAGAGAATCATTGATCGGCTGCCTCTTGCACAACCCACACTGGGGATTGAGCCCGCAACCTGGGTGTGTGCCCTGACCAGGAATCGAACCGTGACTTCCTGGTTCATAGGTCGACGCTCAACCACTGAGCCATGCTGTAGGGCAAGGATAGATTTTTGTTGTTGTTTTTTAATTGATTTGAGAGAGAGAGAGAAAAACATTGATGTGAAAGAGAAATGGATTGGCTGCCTCTCATACTCACTCCCATGGGGATTGAACCTGAAACCTAGGTATGTGCCCCGACTGGGAATCTAACCTCCCACCTTTTGGTTCACAGGATGACTCTCCAACCAACTGAGCCACTAGGCCAGGGCTGGAAGCTTCATTTTTAATATGCCATTTAATGGGTCAATGAATAAATATAAATGAGATCATGTAGTATTTCTCTTTCTTTGTTGAACTTATTTAACTTAACATAATGCCCTCAGGATCCATCCATGTTATTGCAGATGGCAAGATTTCATTCTTTTTTATGACTGGATAATATACCATTTTATTTATGTACCACATTTTCTTTATTCATCTATCAATGGATACTTAAGTTGTTTCCATATGTTGGCTATCTATCTATATAAAAGCCTAAGTGACTCTTACAACTGAATGACTGGAACGACCAGTCAACCAGTCACTATGATGCTCATTGACCACCAGGGGGCAGATGCTCAACGCAGGAGCTGCCCCCTGGTGGTCAGTGCGCTCCCACAGCCAACCTCTCAAGGCCAGCCAACTGCCCGTGGTTCCCCCCGACCCTGGCTGGCCAACCTCCCTTGGTTCCTCCCCGTCTTCCTTCCCCTGGCCGGCAGGCCCCAATCAACCCCGCCCCAATCCATCTGGCCCATCGGCCTGGCCCCAATGGGCCCTGATCGCTGGCCAGGCCTAGGGACCCCACCCATGCATGAATTCGTGCACCGGGCCTCTAGTTGTAAATAATGCTGCAATGAATATTGGGGCTGCATATATCTTTTTGAGTTAGTATTTTCATTTTCTTTGGATAAATATGCAGAACTGGAATTTCTGGATCATATGGCAGTTCTATTTTTAATTTTTTGAGGAACTTCCATACTGTTTTCCATAGTGGCTGCAGAGTTTTATATATTTTTATGACATTATTGAAAAATACTTCTTTTGAACCAAGATACTTGCTGTGACCTTTCTGTGTGCTCTTTAAATCGATAAAAAGTATATGTTGACTTTGTTGTCTTATGTCATATATAAGTCCTAATCAATATTTTTAGTCTTCTCCTTGCCTTAATCTTTCAGTTTCCTGCCTCTAAATGTTTTCTACTTCTACTTGGCTTATTTTTGAATTGCCGCAATGTTATTGTTCTTTACCAGGTCAGTAAAATCAGCTTGGTGGATCTAGCAGGAAGCGAACGAGCTGATTCAACTGGCGCCAAAGGGACTCGATTAAAGGTATTTTTCTTGTCAAGCAAATGGCCTAGTCAATAATTGTTCTATAACATGGGTATCCATATCTGGCCCACTGACTGTTTTTGTAAATAAGATTTTATTAGAACACAGCTGCATCTATTTATATATTAACTGTGGCTGCTTTCATGCTACAATGATAGGGTTGAGAAGTTGTGACAGAGACCACAAAACCTTTAAGAAAAATTTTGCCCATTCTGCTCTATAACTTCAAAGAAAGGTTAAGTTATATAACAATAAGGAGAACTTCATGGTGAGAGTTGAATTGTATTTTGAGGAACAGATGAAAGTAAGGGACAGTAGTGGGAAAAAAGGATACTCAAGATCCAGATGTGAGGCCAACATGAACTCCTCTAGAGATATGCTTAACAAGAGCAGAAATTTCATGTTGGTGAATTGTGGGAAGAAGGCTGCATCTGTAAGTTTTTGGAGCATAAACATCTCAAAGACACTTTAGAACTGTACAGTTAGACATGTGGTCTTGGCATGTTACCAAGTGGAGAGGAGGGAAGATTGAGAATTAAAGGAGGATTTTAGAATTTGTGGTCATAAATAAGCTATTAATGCTAGCCTATGGCTAATTGTATTTTATCTATTATACTGTATATGATGTGGCAGTTGTAGAAATTCTTCTTAATTCTTTCATGTTTGGAATTGATTTTAGGAAGGAGCAAATATTAATAAGTCTCTTACAACTCTGGGCAAAGTCATTTCAGCCTTGGCGGAGGTGGTAAGTGTTACTTCATTGTAAAGGAACATTTGTCTGCTCAGCAAATGTATTTGACAGGTATCTTATGATTATTTATGACGGTTGCCCTTTTTTGGCCCTCTTATGTAATCTTACCTTCCTTCTTTTAGAGCTTTTTGATAAGATACGGGGTATAATACACTTCGTACTAAAAGTAAAAGAGATTGAGGAGAATGAAAGGAAACAGATCGATATAAGCTAAAGGAAGGGCTAGGTCTTTACAAAGACCTAAGGTTTGACTATTTTTTGAGCCTTATTTCATATCTCATAAAAACCACAAGTATTTATTGTATCTTCTGTTTCTGTACAATCTTTTCTAAGTAGGATGCAGTACTTTGTTGGAGTATTTTGAACAGCTTGCCATAATAAATGCTGTTGATTTGGGGGCCAGTAATGTATTTTTAAAAGAGTTTATTTTTATTATTCCTTAATAGTGGAACACTAAAACTGAAACAATTTTTATATAAAAGCTTCGTTATTTATGTTAAGAAGCTAAGAAAGTGTTAGTCATGTGTGTTCTAATTTAGTTTAGTATCTTATTTGAATCCTTAAAAAGAATTGAATGCTTTTTTGCTTATCTCTGAGAAGTCATATTCAATTTATGACTTAAAAATTACACACTATTTTCTGTCTGGAGGCTTATCCTTTGTTCTCATTCTCTTTTTTAAATGCTTTCATCTGTAGGATAACTGCACCAGCAAGGTATGGTGGGGGTTGATAAACATGAACTAGCTGTGGAATCAGTTGTGATGATTTTGGATCCTCAGCAGGGTGTATGGCACATACGTAGGAATGGCACCTTCAGAAAAAGTTTCTGTTTTTTGTTTTCTGGCTCTGGAATTTAGAATTGCTATTTAGAGTGGACCTGAATCATGAGCCTTCACAGCAAAATTAATTTAAGGAACATGATGTACTTTGAAGAAGGAATTCAGAATAAGGGAAAAGAAAGTTGAGGAAGTTTCTACATTATGTTATCTTGCAATATCTCTTCTAGTGATTTAAAGCAGCGGTTGCCAACCAGTGGTCGGGACCACTGGTGGTCCGTAAGGTCCAAAAGGTTGGCAACCACTGATCTAAAGGACTGTCTCTTGAAGAGATCTATTAACCTCACAAATGGATGATGAAAGAAATTTCTTAAGGGTACCATTCTAAAACATAGCTGGCTTCTTGGGATTATTTGTATATTTTTCTTAAACATCTTTATATTATTTGTACTTGTTTCCTACCATGAAAAGTCATGGGTTATCTATTTATTTATTTATTTATTTTTGTTAATCCTCACCTGAGGATATTTTTCCATTGATTTTCAGAGAGAGTGAAAGGGAAAGGGAGAGACAGAAACATCGATGTAAGAGAGACACATTGATTGGTTGCCTCCTGCATGCACCCTGACCAGGGCTGGGGAATCTGCAAATAAGGTACATGCCCTTGACCAGAATCAAACCTGGGACCCTTCAGTCCATGTGCTGATGCTCTATCCACTGAGCCAAATCGGCTAGGGTCACAGGTTATTTAAATGATAAAAAAATTTTTTTTCTTTTCAGTTATACATAAAGCACAGGCTGTAGAATCAAGTTAAAATTCTAACTGTATCTTGAAAACATATGATTTGCATCCTTTTTAATCCAAATATAATAAATTTTTCTTCTATTTCTATAGAAATACTCTAAAATTTATTTTGCATAAATAATAGAGCACAGTTTGTTCTGAATCACATGAGTAACATTGGGGATATAAGCGGTATTTGCACTAAAATATTTTATGCTCATATTTTCAGACATTACAGATTTATTTACTCTTGGTAATTGCAAAATAAAGCAATAAAAAGTAATGTCCCTTTTCTGTTTTTCTCTGCTATTAAAAAAAGATGCCTTAGATTAAAAAATCTGCTATTTGATATACATTTATGGGTATTCTTAAAATATTTAATTTGGGTCCCAGAACCATAAAGACTGTTAAAACTTAGTGATTATTTTAACTTGTCCTGTTCATTTGCTCATCAATTAACATCCATATGAACCCAAAGAGAAGTTTACAAAGTACTTACCTATGTATTTCCCACTTTGCTCTGTGCCACAAAAAATGACTTTTTATAATCAGTTTTGTAAAATTCAGTTTAGTACTTTGCATCCACGTTATAACTATAATAGATCAGAAATAAATTTTAGTTTTTATGTAACAAGCATAATTTTTGGTGAATTAAGATGTCTTGTTATTTCCACTGGGGAGATAAACAGGATTATTACCATTTAAACTCAATTTTTTTTTTTAGAGAAGTTACTGATGTAAATAAAACTTTTTTATGTAACTACTGAAGCGCTTATTTTTTAAAGTTATGGATGTAAGACTGATGAAATTCATGTGTGTAAGCCAGCAAGTAGAGAAGAAATGGCTAAAATTCCAGGGTATTTTCAAATAGAAAAGATTGAAGTTCTATTTATGTATATTCATTTAGCTATTCCTTAATTTAGTCTAATTGACAGAAATGAAAATAGAATATTTTAGTAAAAGTGAGCCTGCTTATTTTTGGAGTATTGTTTGCAGTCATTGTAACTGCCTTGCTTTAAATCTTGCAGCATTTTCAGTACTAACCATAGGCAAAGTGGAGTGAGAGGTCTCCGGCCTCAAGAATTTTGTAGTGGAGTGAAAGTTCCATTAGCTTGTGAATGACTGAGTGGGTTCAATCTCCCTTGAGGTCTGTGTAATTTAGAACCTGCTATTGGAAATGACTTTCTAATTGTTGGAATGTGTGTCAGTGAGTGGGGTGGGATGAGATGGAGGGGATATTTTTGATAAGAGGTGGAATTAAAGTACTGCTTGCCTTCTTTCTTTTCCTCCTCAACAAACCAGAGGTTAGCTACTTAGTTTTCCTTTTCTGAATACCTGTGTTTTTACAAGAACTAGATCATCCTTAGTGTAATTTAAACTCATATTGTACCTGGAATGGATTATAAAACTGCTCATTGCTGGGGAGATGTATATCAGTGAACCCTGGCTTTCTTCTTAGTAGTTTCTTAACTTATCACAATACATCAGTCAGCCAGCAGAGACTAGAGTAGCTCTTATCTACAAAAATGTTTATTTTCAAAGGATATAACTTCCTCCTTTGCAGCACTGGCTTTACATTGGTGCTTTTTGCTTTATTCTGTAATAATGAGAAGGGTTACGGAGAGAGCAGTATATATAATAAACTATATATAGAAAATGCATTTTCAGTCTTTACAAATCTCAAGATTACGAATTATATTATTTCCTTAGATCTAATACTCTACTGATTGGATTTATTTTGGGCATAATTTCCATCCAAAGAAACCAAATTGTATTGCTCTACAAGAGTTACTAGATATGTAATAATCCACTTGATGATTTGATGGTTGGACAAGTAAATGCGTTAACTAAATGACTGGCTCCTACACATTTGGCTTGGAATGTACAGGATTCATTTTGCCCCTCAGCAAAAGTAAAAAGTATTATTTGAGGATTGGGTATTAGATAATATTAAGGAGTTACTGTTAATTTTGCTAAGTGTGTAATGGTCATGCAGTTATGTTTTCTTAAATCTTTCTCTGTTTGAGATATGTACCTGAAGTATTTATAGGTGAAATGTTGGACTTCCTTTAAAACACTACCAGCTATAAAAGACATGACATGGACAGGATAATTGATAGCAGTAGTATGTTGATGTTAAATTTCCTTAATTTGGTCTTGGAACTGTAAGAAACTGTCCTTATCTGCTAAGGGCTTAGGGATAAAAAGGGCATGATGTCTGCAATTTACCCCAAAATGTTTCAGGAATAAAAAGTGTAGAAAAGTGTTTGAGGGATAATTGAAACATGATTGGCAAAATATTGAAAATGGTTAGAGCTGCATGATGGATATATGGTAGCTCATTATATTACTCTCTAAACTGTTGTGTATGTTACAAATTTTTCAAAATAAAACATAAAAAGAAACAATTACTTTATTACATGAGCTTTGGGGTACTGTGAAGAACTGAAGCTGTGAAGTGTTAAATTTCTACAGTGAGGGTTCTACTGTAATTTATTTTTTTTCTTTTTTAAAAAAAAATATATTTTATTGATATTTTACAAAGAGGAAGGGAGAGAGAGGGATAGAGAGTTAGAAACATCGATGAGAGAGAAACATCGATTCAGCTGCCTCCTGCACACTCCCCACCAAGGATGTGCCCGCAACCAAGGCACATGCCCTTGACCGGAATTGAACCCGGGACCCCTCAGTCCTCAGTCCGATGCTCTATCCACTGAGCCAAACCGGTTAGGGCGGTTCTACTGTAATTTAATTTACTTGGTAATTTTAGGCTGGTTTGTCTTTCATGTGACTTTTTCCTCCTTAACACTAAAACTATTTCTTTCCGTTTAATAGAGTAAGAAGAAGAAGAAAACTGATTTTATTCCCTACAGGGATTCTGTGCTTACTTGGCTCCTTCGAGAAAATCTAGGTATGTTGACCACTGGTTTTTAATTATCTTTTTTATTAAAGCTGGTTGGATTTGCATACCTTTATTTAAACCTGGGTTTTCTTCCCTATGTCGTTGACTTCCAGACATAAACTGTGAAATAGTTGTCTTCCTCACCACACACCTGCTTCAAACTATTGCTCCTTCTTCCTCTTTGAAAGCTTCATGCTCCTCTGAGGTGTACACAATCAGATGTAACCAACCCTTACTCATTTCTATTGATGTTTTAGGACCTTCAGTCACTGTTTCATTAGCCCTTTCCCCCCCTTGATGAGCAGGAGGGAGTAATCAGCTGTGTCAGTAGTTGCTGATAGAAAGAAGAGGCTGAGAATGGCCTTTTGGGCCGTCCACGTCACCAGTAACATTCACATCGCTAAGAGCAGCTTTGGTGAAGTGGCTGAGGTCTTGATTGGTTGGGAAGAGGGAAAATGGACACAGTAAATCCAGACCCCAAGATCTGAGTACAGTGCCTGACATGGGGACATTCAAGAAATGTATTGACTTTTGATTAAATCTTAGGATCTAAGGTTGTGCTGTCTGATCTGGTACATTCAATAAAATTTTTTAAAAATGAGAGTGATTTGAGATAATCACGATTCATCTTTTTAGGTGGCAATTCTCGGACTGCAATGGTTGCTGCTCTGAGCCCAGCAGATATCAACTATGATGAAACTTTGAGCACTCTGAGGTACTCCAGTTTGATCCCAATAGCTTAGAAGAACACAATGCCACGTTAAGTCATTTTGTTAGGCCATGCATATTCTTATGCTGTATGGGTAGTCATTTATGTACGTGAGGACCCCGCCTTCTCATAATAGGGAAAATGTGAAGGGAAGGAGATTCTTATTATAATAGAATTGACCTATGGTTTATGGTTTTCGGTTTCACTGAGAAAGGAAAAACATTTTCATAGGAAAAATATTAAAATTGTTCAAGTTAGATTTTCAGATAACTTTTAGATAATAGTGAAAGTTTTAAAATAATATTCATATTTATAAAAAAGAAGTGTCCCTGTGTTTGTCATTATAGAAATGCTCAAGTCGTAAAAAGTAATACAATTATGAATACATGTAGCATTTTTAAAAATTAGTGACAGAATGTTTACTAATAGAGTATTTCTATATAAATGAATAGGTTTCATTATTTTAATCCCAAACTTTCTACTCTTCTCTCATTAAAGACACTTGATGTAATGAAAAGGAACACTTATAGTCTGACTAATCAGTTTTGAGTCCTTTCTCTGGTATTTATTTCTTTTGTGATCTTGAGTAAATCGCTTAAATTCATCCGAGCCTTTTTCTTCAACTTTATAAGGTACTATAAAACTTTATACACATGTGCTATTATTAAGGCCCATAAATGTGTAAATACTCAAGCTGTTTGCTTTAGAAATAATGGTATGTTAAAGAAAAAAAAGAAAGAATGGTATGTTACTTAGGAGAAGTAGAGCATCTGAGGAATTGCAAAAATGAATCTTTTTGAATCTAGATATGCAGATCGTGCAAAACAAATTAAATGCAATGCTGTTATCAATGAGGACCCCAATGCCAAGCTTGTCCGTGAATTAAAGGAGGAGGTGACGCGACTGAAGGACCTTCTTCGTGCTCAGGGACTGGGTGATATCATTGATAGTAAGTGGATTAAGGATCAATACAAAATCTAATCCTTTTCGGGGTTCTTATATTTAAATTTAGATTTAAGGAACTTGATGAAGCTTGATGGTAGGAAAAGGTTTTGTTTTTTTTCCCTTTTTTTAAAATGTTTTTATTTATTTTTAGAGAGAGAGGAAGAGGGAAGGGAGAGATAGAAAGGAACATCGATGAGAGAGGATCATCGATCTGCTACTTCCTGCATACCCCCTACTGGGGATCAATCCCAAGACCCCAGGCATGTGCTCTGGCCAGGAATCAAACTCTTGGTTCCTGGATCAACACTCAACTGCTGAGCCACACCAGCCAGGCTGTTTTTCCCTTAACTTCTTCAAAAAAAACAATGAAAATGATCTCAGAAGTTTTTTATATAGTATGTACCAGGATATCCATTTGAACTCATGAAATTAATTTTTCATGAATATATATCACTACTTGTATTTTTGATAGATTTCTGTTTTAGATCAGCAATGGAATTTATTTGGAATGTTAAGCTTATTCTCACTGAGAAACTAATTACTTCATAAAAATATTACTTGAAATTTTTGTTTTGTGTTACAGGTTTCTCTGGGTTAATGTAGTAGCAGTGATATATGTGTGAATGCTCCCCACTCTGTTCCCTATGAACATATGAAGGGGAAAATATTTAATTGACCTTAAGTTCAAGAATTAGACTTCCAGAGAACGTTGTCTTACAGTGTTGTCTTAAAATGTATCTAATTTTAATGTAATTCATTTGTCTTAAAATGAATCTGGTTATATCTGATTAGGCAATATGCCTAATCAGAAGTTCTCTAAAGTGAGTTAACTGGATTATTCAGGTAGAATAGTATTTGGCTTTATTTAATAGAGCATATTTATGGTGTGTTTTTTTTGTGTAAAATTAATAGTATATTATTTGAAATTCTAATAAGATTTTCAAGGCCTCTTCTGGTTTTCTAGTTTAGTTTGTCTTATTGATTAGCACTTGATTTTAGATGAATACAGTTTGTAAAATGATAATATAGTCTGTGTTAATATTTTCATCTCCCCAAATGCCAAAATACTGCTCTGTTCCCTCTCTGTGTCACTGCTGAACCTGAACTTTGATCCTTCTTGTATTTTCCCTCCTGCTTACCCTCAGTTGATCCATTGATCGATGATTACTCTGGAAGTGGAGGCAAATGTGTGTATTTCATGTATTGATCATTCCCAGTAGTACTCTGATTTGCTAGTCTGCCTCTGCTGGATTAACCTAAAATGAGCTTTGCATGCCAGCAGTTCTAACAGTGAAATCCCAGACAGAGCATACTGTGTGTAGATTCAGAAATGATCCTAGTTTTGCCCTTCTACATTTAGCAAAGCAATCTTTGCTGCATTTCAGTTTGTGTCTTGAATAAAGTCAAGAGGCTGAAGAATCTTATGTTGCTTCTACCCTTCAGTGTTTCTACTTAGGTAATTAAACTGAATCCAGAGTCATAGATGATGATAATAGCAATGACAGCAGCTCACGCTTATGGAGTGTATATAATGTGTCAGGCCCTGTTCTAGTACCTTGGATATATTATCTCAATCCTGTCAATAACTCAGAAAGTTCCATTATGTCCATTTTACCAATGAGGACACTGTTACCAGGAGTGGTTAGTTGGCTGCTGAGATCCAATGGTTTCTGTGTGGTCAGGTTGGGTAGTGTAACTCAGAGCCCTAGCTTTTAATCATTATTACACCTTTCTTGCTCTTGATATCCTTCAAATATGATTATTTAGTAGAAAAGTCCTTTTTACTTAGCTGTGTAATTCTGAGCCTCAGTGTATATATAATTAATTAAAAACAGTCACTTCCAGTTGGGAAGTCTCTGTGATTGAGCAGCTCCGTGACTGTTGGATTAGCATTCCTCCTGGATTAGGCTAAATTGGCTTCCTCCCTATCTTGGGCTTCAGCTTGCTTGATAGTTAGGTAAACTCTTTTTTTTTTCTTTTTCATGAATTGCAAATTAAATTTTAAAAACTTACGTGAATAAAATTTGTGCTTGAAATGAAGATATTTTTAAAAGGATCACACATTAATCTTCCCATATGTGTTACTAAGTTGGTGAGGAAATCATTTCTTACCCTTTTAAGATAGTTTATCAAGGAATTATTGATTTGTTGGCTTGACAGAGAGTGAGGAAATCCATAGGAGAAACCAAATATAGCCCTGGCTGCTGTGACAAAGTTAGGCCTTGGGGACACTAAACGTTCTAATTCGGAGTGACTCTTGGACTGGGCGGCTCTGTCTGAGATTTCCAAAGCTGACCGACACCGGTGTGGGAAAACACCTCTTCTCGCTTTTGTGCTCCAGAGGTGCTGCCAGCTTGTGGCCTCACTCTTTCCTGAAGAGTGGCTCTTGGACTGGACGGCTCTGTCTGAGATTTCCAAAGCTGACCGACACCAGTGTGGGGAAACACCTCTTGTTCTCGCTTTTGTGCTGCAGAGGTGCTGCCAGCTTGTGGCCTCACTCTTTCCTGAGCAGCTGTGGCTTCTCCCTGAAAACTGTGCATGACTTAAATTTTAATTCTGTATCGCGCAGGAAAGCAGCCCTGACCACTTCTGAATTTCCATTTCGATCTACTACACTCAGTTCCTTTTAGGGCCTGCATGTGTCCGTTGGACTAACTCTGTCCTTCCTGCTCTTCCCACCTTGCTGCCATCACCTGATGGCTGATTCTTTTGCTGCAGTTCCTATCCTCCCTTTAAAACTTGCTTGTTTTCCTATGTTCTATATTTGCAGATGGTAGTTTTCAAACTGTCTTGAAGCAACCACTAGTTTTAAGGGGTTTCAAGAACTGGCTTTGATTAATTAGACATGAATAGGCCAGAAAGAACTTACATTTTTTTCTGACTCTTTGTATTGACTCAGATCCTTTAAGGAAAACTTAGTTTTTATATGAATTTTAAACAATGTAGATTTTTCTCAAATTTAAAAATGAGCTAATTTTAAAATTGGAATGCACCAATACCTATGGTTTTTCTCTGGTGTCTATTTGAGAAGGATGATTAATGAAGAAAAGTACAAACAGCAAATTATTGAACTTTGTTGTTTGTGGCTCATTTGCCAAAACTAAGTCTAAAAGCAAAATCTATAGCTCTATTGAAAACTTTAGTAAATGAAAGTGTGTCTCTAAAACTTGCATTTCATACTGGGAACTTGGTTTACAATGACTCATGGTCATACTTTTAGGAAAAGCGAGAGCCTTACTTAGCAAATACTCAGCCTTAATTTTTGCGTCTCTAACAGATTAATGTAAACATCCATTTGCTAATTGTTCTTCCCTGTTAAGGCAAGCAATCAGCCCTAAGTTCTTAACCAGGACTTAGACAAAATTCCTGTCATTTCTACAATTACCTCTCCTATTTTTAAAAAACGATGTATTAAAAAAATTCTTTTTAGGATATTGAAATGTTCCTAAACAAAGGACATTACTAAGTATTCATATTTTTGTTTTAACTGTGACATTTTGGGGGGAATTTTTGCTGAATGCTATAAAACACTGGGCGTGGCTGATATGTATTATTATTGATAAATAAGTGACCATCTTTTTTCCCTTACTGTGACAAACTACTGGGATTTACGAGTTGTGTAAATCTAAGGCATTGTAGATTTGGAGCCACAGAAGGAATAGAAAGGAGAATGCCTAAGCATTATCCTTTGAGGCCCGACCTGATACAACATTAACCATGCTGTAATTTTTTAGTTTCTAAATTCAGAATTGGTTCTTAACCTCTAGGATACCAGTGTTAAAGACAGACATGTTTTAGAACTGCCATCTAGAACAGATACAACTTATTTTTGTATTATAATATGTCTTTGTCTTGGCACTTTAATGCTTTCCTTTCTTACACGGGTGTTCCTTCCTGTTTTTGTTTTTTTTCTCTTTCTCTATTCCTTTCCCTTTCTTCTACTTCTTCTGCCTTCCCTTCTGTCTGTCTCCCAGATCTGAAAGATTTTCAGAACAATAAGCATAGGTACTTGCTAGCCTCTGAGAATCAACGCCCTGGCAATTTTTCCACAGCATCCATGGGGTCCCTTACTTCATCTTCATCTTCCTGCTCACTCAATAGTCAGGTGGGCTTAACATCTGTGACCAGTATTCAGGAGAGGATCATGTCTACACCTGGAGGAGAAGAAGCCATCGAACGTCTAAAGGTGAGTAATAATTCAGACTAAATGAAAGTATTCTATGTAGTTCCACAAGGCAGAATTAGAACTAAAAATCACTGAGAGTTTGGTTCAGCATATGGAAGAACTTTAACTTCTAGAGGCATCCTGAAAATGGAATTTGCTACTTTGTAAGATAATTAATTTCTGTTCACCAGAATGCTTGACTCTGATGTGGCCAGGCAGAGTGGGAGAGATTCAAGGGCAGATCATAGGCTGGCCATGCCAAGTAACTGATAAGTACCTGGGTATGTCCATTAGTTCGGAGGTAGTTTATAAGTCACAGTGAACTTGTTCAGTTAGAAATTTAGTTGGAAACTAATTAATTAGTTGAAAACATTTGGTTTCATCAGAAGAATTTTATGTAGAGCCATACATTTATTTATGTATTAAAATAAATACACAATCAAAAGAAAGTTTGTACATTTGAGTAGCTGTGTATCAGGTTTATTCAGAGACACATGAAGCGGCATCTTTTGGAAGTCCATAGAAGGCCTTGAAACCTTGTGGTCACTGCTGTGGAAGGCTGCCGCCTCCTGTGCAGGCCCCCTGCCCTGGCACTCAGCTTAGCTTTCCCAGCCTGTTGCTGGCTCGGTCAGGTGCTTTCTTGCCTCTCTCCATGAAGGTGGAAGTTAGGAACAGCAGCCTTCTGACTCACAGGTTCTTCCTCCCCCTCAGTGACTACGAGAGCAGACATTTGTTACCTGTGGTGCCACCCTTCAAGTCACTGTGACAGCATCAGAGATGCTTTCTCTTTCCTTGCTTGTCACCTCCAGGATCATGGTTTGATTCATATCTTTTGGCCTTTGTGTTCAAAAGTGCCAGGGTAGGGAAAGCAAGGAGTGTGAAGAAACTGACTAAGGAGCTGGGAAGTTGCCATCATGCTGCCAGCTAATAGTCCTCTTGGCATCCACGACTGCTGCCCATTCAAGGACTGGGAGAGCAGTGACCCTCTGACAGATTAGCGATTGAAAAGGTTTGCTGAGATTTTCACCACTCAGAGGAATTAATAAGCTTGATAGTTGAAGATGACAAATGCTTCCTTTTCGGTTTTCGGGTGAGGCTGAGAAAGCTTTAACATGAAAAATGGCCTTCTGCTTCTTAATCAGCCTACCTTTCCCCTTGGCATTTTACTCCTAAAATAAGGTGCTTTGGAAACCAAAGTAATGATCTTGTATCTTCCTCCAGAACATGTTAGTGGAAAGTGGCAGAGGGAGAGGGAGTAAGAAAACTTTTCATGTTGCAACGTGAAGAGTAATTTCTGCTGTTGTAAAATTGACTTTGAAATGTTCCTGAAGACTTGAGCGAAGCCCTGGGCACGAAGACTGTACTCATGTATTTTATCACATAGGCATCAGTGACAAAGGTGCTGTGCTGGGGCCACCGTGGGGATGCGGGGCTCTGTGGGAAGGTAAAGGGAAGTCTCCCACTTACTGTTTAATGTAAAATGTGCTTTTTATTTGGGAATTTTGAATCTTACTGTTTGCTTATTAAAGCCTTAGTGCACTAATGAGATTACACCTTCCTTTAGCATACTTCTTGGTGTAAAAGAGGAAATTATCCTAATGCCAAGTGGGTCCAACTGGAAATAATGTTGAATGCTAGGAGTCAGGGCATTAACCAGACTCTGAAGAATTAGATCATCCAGTGTTTTGCAAATAGTTTCTAAGGCATAACACTGCCATTATTCAGGGAACCCTCCCCCAACCTCCCTACTTCCCACCAAAAACAAGACAAAACTACATTCTTTGTTTTAATGGTCCTTTAAGCCAACATAAATGAATCTTCCATTTTCCCTACCTTTAGGAAATAGCTTCTTTGCATTCGATCTTGAGTTTTTAATGTAGCAGGGTAGTTCACTGAAGCTTAAGCGCCTTAATTCTGCTCTTGTTCTGTGAATGGGGGGAATTCCATTCTGGCAGACCTGCATTTTAATGCTGCAGGCAGATTACATCTTGCATCCACAGCAAGGCAGTGTTTGTATGATAGAAATGCTTGAGAATTCCTCGTTTTTGGATTATTTCATTGTTGAGCGTGAAGGAGCTGCATTCCTAAGACATGACACTGTAGGATAAAAATACTGTAATGGAAAACAGTAATAGAGGGGTCAATTCATTTTCCCAACATTTTATTTCCCTTTGCTTCTCAAAAACATGATCAGTTGGTAGACTATTTTTACATAGGATGTTGCTACTGCATTGTTCATTGAATAGTCTGTTTTCATATGGAAGAAGTCTGTTACCCCGTCATAAATGTTACCCCAGCCCTAATCGGTTTGGCTCAGTGGATAGAGCGTCGGCCTGCAGACTCAAGGGTCCCAGGTTCGATTCCGGTCAAGGGCATGTACCTTGGTTGCGGGCACATCCCCAGTAGGGGCTTTGCATGAGGCAGCTGATCGATGTTTCTCTCTCATCGATGTTTCTAACTCTCTATCCCTCTCCCTTCCTCTCTGTAAAAAATCAATAAAATATATTTAAAAAAAATAAAAAAAAATGTTACCCCATCATGTTACCCCATCATAAATATCTTGAGCCCTTCATAAATGTCTCTGACAAAACAGAAGATATGTAATTGCTTTCAGTTTTTAGTTGCAGTTCAAACTGAATTGAAATGTATGTAATCTTGATTTAATTCCTATTCAGTAAATTTTCAAAGATGTAGCTATAGTCACTGTGTGGTGACAATGGTGTTTGTTTATTAGTCTGACATCAAAGTCAGCACTGTGAGTGCCAGTGCTTAGGCTTAGACTATAAATATCAGCAAATATCCATTACAGAAGCATGCAAGGGCTAATGCTGTGCTAGGCAGCCCAAGGGCCCCATAGTTGGAACTCACTTATGAAGCATTCTATGTTCAGTACAGTAAAACCTTGGCCATCTGATGGCTTCAAGGCACGTTTCATGGATAAGCACTAAGCTTTTAAATATCAGAATTTAAGCTAATTTTTTTTCATGGAAATTTTTCTGACTTGGTGGATTTCTCTGCCACCATAACTGAATCATGGTGAAGAGATTAAATTGTGTTTAGCCAGCCTTGGCCGGTGTTTCTCAGTGGTTAGAGCGTCAGTCCATGCACCTGGAGGGTCGTGGATTTGATTCCAGGTCAAGGGCATGTACCTGGGTTGCAGGTTTCATCTCCACCCATCAGGGTGTATATGGGAGGCAACCAATCCATGTGTCTTTCTCACATTGATGTATGTTTCTCTCTCTCTCTTTCTCTCTCTCTCTCTCTCTCTCTCTCTCTCTCTCTCTTTGCCTTCCCTTCCTTCCTTCCACTCTCAATAAAAATAAATGCAAAAAAAAATCCTTGGGTGAGGATTGACAAAAGAAAAAAATTGTATTGAGCCATATAAACATAACTATTAACCAGTGCTGTACACATAGCTAGACATATGTGATGTAGCAGTAAAGTTGAATGACACCTGAGCCCAGCATTCCTTGGAGCTTAAAAAAAAGTTCCTGATGTCACTATGCTTTTCGGGATTTCTTTATGTGTAGTACCTGTAGGAAGGAAGGACCTTTTAAAGATTTGTCTCCTCAACTCCTCATTTCTTAACTGTGAAGCCTCATTTTAGTTCAATCTTAAATTAGACTTCTAGCGTGGGTTGTGGGCAGACTGGACACCAGTGTGCCAGGCCTGCCTGCAGAGTGAGTTGATGACTCAGAGACTGAAAGCTGTCTTCCTGTTGGCATCTCTATTTTATTCATAGTTTGTTATTCAGGCTTGAAGAAAGAATATCCTTCCCCCTTTATTAAATAATTTATGGTGAGCATTTTTTAGAATATTTCCTTTAAAGTCTATCAATTCTGCCTTAGACCTGGCTCAGGAAGAATCGCGTCCTCAAGTTAATTGCTTAGTTTCTTTGACCCCCAGTTTCTTTATCCTTAGAATGATTCTGGAAAAATAGTTTTCCCAGCACTGAAGTTTTGCTAATCTGATACTTAATATCATTTTCTCATCTTTTTTCAGAGTTTTAAAAAATAGCATTCTAAACAATATAAACATTTTCAACTTGAAGCTATATTGAAAAATAAAAATAGTACCTTCCTCAGCTTACTCATTACATCTGTTTTCTACATCGAGATCATATTTTGATTTACCCTCCAGGTGGGAAGTAAAATTAGAGAGGTCACTTTAGAGTTGGCAGCAAAATGATAGTAAGAGGATTCCTAGACAATAATTTTGCTTTCTTAGGGTGAGTTTACAGTTACCCCAAAATATAGCCAGAAAAACCTCTGCTCTGACATGATCTTTTTCTGAAAACCAACTAGGAAAAGAAGCTATTTCATGGGTCACTTTTTATTCTATAGCAAACATCAGTGGCTTGTGGCTTGTGTATACTAAGCACTAGTGTAAGTGCTCTGGTTTGGTCAGGGGCATCATATTCTGTTTCTTTGTTTTTGAAGTTGGCATTATGAGACTGTAATTGTTTTTACCCCGCTATCATTAATAAACCTTAGTGTCATATAGTTATGGTGACAGCTTGTCTTGTACTTGCCCTTTTACAGTCATTTGCAGAAGCATTTAACACTACCCTGTTAGAGTTATAGAATAGCTTTTGTGATGCTTTATAGACACACCGTTGACTGCTTGCTACCTGGCATCCTTTCCTGGCTGTCTTACTGCTTCCTGAAATTGTATGGTGTTTTTTTTTTTTTCTTAGTTGCTGGCCCTCTCTCGTGGCATATTGGTTCTTCCTCACTTAGCTTTGGATTGGCACATGCATTGCAATATTAGTCATTCCTATTAGACAACTGTGTAGAGATGCCATTCAGGTGGTTCTCAGCCTGTGCATGTTTGGAGGGTTAATGAGAGCCAATTGGATGGTTTTGTCTCTTTTTCTTCAGGCCCTCCTGACCCCCTGCAGACTTGTTCTAACTTAACTGACTCTCTTTCCCGAAAGTACACCTCCTACGTGGCCCCTTTATATCAACCTTCCTGATGCCCACGCCAGTTCTAAGTGTTATCAATTTTGCTCTTTGCCTAACTTAGCTAGTTGTAGCAGTTGTTATTGTCCTTCTTTTTCTTCTCCTCCTCCTTCTCCTCCTTCTCCTCCATCATCATCATCATCATCATCACCATCATCATGCTCTCCAGTTTGTTTCTCCTGACTCCTGTCCTCCTTTGCTTTTTCAGCTGCTGCCTTGACTCTTTCCTCTTGGCTGTTTTACATGGCCCCATGCAAATGCCAGACCCCTGGGGTTTATTGTATTACATATTCACAGTTTCTTTCTGTGTAATTATGTTTTGGGATCCCAGAGGCTTCTTATAATAGCCTTTTAAATGAATCAGACTATTTTGTGAACTATTAAGACTTTTTTTTTCTTAATCACTATTACTCTTATCATCACAGTGTTATTATCTTATTATCATCATTGTCTAACTTTCTCATCTTGTCTCCATGATAGCATTTTCTCCTGCCTTTTGCATATGCTCATCTCCCATTTGGGTACTTGCTCTTCCTCCATTAGTCAATTCCTACTTGTCCTGCATTCATTGATACAAGCATCACGCAGTCCTGCCTCACCCACTTAGCACTTCAGTTCCAGCCCTTAACCCACAGCTCTGTTGTTCTCTCGTCCATACCCACTCAGAGTCCTTGAGCATGCTGCTCTAGCCACTGTTGTTCCTGGAAAATTCCAGGCATTTCCTACCTGTTCCCTCATATATTCATGTGGCAGCTCTGCTCACATAGAACCTTGTCAGTGAGTCCTGTCCTGACACCCCCACTCCACATTGCTTTCTCACTACCCCTCCCCGACATTCTTTTCCTTCCTTGCTTTATTTTTCTCCAAAGTACGTATTACAGTCTGCTGTACGATAGACTTGACTTATTTCAGTCTCTTTACTAAAATGAAAGTCTCATAAAGGCAGGGAGGGGTTTTGTTCCCTCCCAGACCCCTAGGTGTCTAGAACAGGGCTTGGCATAAAATGGGGTTACATATAATTACTGAATGAATTCATCCTCAGTTACTTCTCTCTCTTTCCTTGGTATACAGTAAACTCCTTAAGAGCAGGAAAGATGTTTTATTTATTATTTTTTGGCATATACTAAACACTCAGCAAGAAATTAGGCAGTTGTCACTCAGTGGCAAAATGTTTTCAGTTGAGATTAATACTAAACCTTTATATATTGGCCATTGGGTTTGTGTTCAGAAGGTATTGTGCGGTAGGGGAGGAAAAATGTTTTTCCTTCTAATGTGGCCCCTGTAACAAAAGGCAGATTAATAAGAGAAAAATATACAATTTATTTAACAAAAGTTTGACACGACACAGGAGTCTTCATAAGAAGTGTTAAACCTGAGCATTAAGTTTGACAAAGAGTGAAAAGCTGTGGGAAAATGTGATAGGGCAAAGGGGTGTGAGCTAAGAATAGGAAACGAGGAACTTATCAAGGCCTGTTTGTTCAGATTCCTCTTGGCATTCCTCCGTCTTCAGAAGTGTGGATGCTCCTTTCCTCCAGGTATAGGGGACACCTCTCCTGAAGCTCTGATAACCTGCATCAGGAGGGGATCAGAGTCCTTCCTGCACATAATCATTTTTCAAATTCCTTCAGCTTACAATATTTAGTATGCCAAGACGCCATGTTTTTTGGGGAGCGTGTTCTGAACCCCATCAGTGTTATGGCGAAATAGTGAAACAAAAGCAATTAATACCTTTGGGAACTTTATTCTTTTGTAGAAGTGGATGTCAGAAATAGTGCCTTGTATATTGGTGTGTTACTATTACTCTTTCCTCTACACACACACACACACACACACACACTATTAAGGTATTTTTATTAGGACTTAAGAAAATTAATATATCTGGGACTGATTTAGTGTTAGGTCTGGTCTTTATGATTATTTTTTTTTACATATTAAGAAAGGAAAAAATGTCATCATATTAGATTCTGCCTCATGTTCTCGAAGGACATCATCTGCTTCTTGCTGTCCTTCCTACGCATGCTACGCTAAATTATGAGACTGTCACTTTAACTGTGGACTTCCTCCCGTAGGAATCAGAGAAGATCATTGCTGAATTGAATGAAACCTGGGAAGAGAAGCTGCGTAAAACAGAGGCCATCAGAATGGAGAGGTCAGGAGGTTAAATTCTGGGAAGTTTCTAAATTTTCTAAGGAATTTTGATTACTTTTATAGTAAGAAAAGATAAAATAGAAGTTAAAAACAAAGAACCTTCTATTCTAAAACAAAAAAAACCTGGCTGGGGACTTATGGCCTGTTGAATTTATACTTTGAAATAAAATTCACATATTTAAATGTTCTCTAGAAAATCATGGTGCTTCAGTAGTTACCATACTGCGTGTTGCTGGGTATCCATATAAAAATGGAAGCTGTTGAGGGATAAAGTTTTTAATTTGCAAGGAGATTGCCCAAATTTATAAAGCTGTTCTGATTATTGTCTTTCAAAGTTTTATAGAACCTTTTGGTAAGAAATAAAGGCGTTTAAGTTGCAAACTTTTAAATTTCCTATTCTATCTCTACCCTGAATGTGAACATAACCCAAAATAATACTTTTGCTATTGGAATAAATATACATTTTTGAAATGTCGGTCTGTTCTCATCATAGCAATTAGGCAGAAGTAAGTTCCAATGTATTGATACAGTAAATGTATCAAACAATTAGAACTTTCTTACTTAATATAGAATTTTTAAGCTAGAATTATTGAACCAATATCATGCTGAACATGGGAACATAACATTCGAGAAAAATCACATTCATAGACAGTACTCCATCTATCAACGTTTCTTTCTGACTGCTTTCCTAGATTTTGAAGAAATGGTTGAGTTTTATGTTGAGCCTTAAGGAATATCCCTTTCTTTTTTATACAAATAAACATTACGAATTATTGTCTACCTCTAAAGTCAGATGAGACAGAGTTCTTATTTAGGTGAAGATAACCTTATCTAATAGAGGAACATAATTTATTTTGAATGTGCTATTTCTCTTAAAAATAATTTCTCTAATGATGAGATAAGCAGATTCTTTCACATGTATTACTGACTTTAAACATGGACAATTGTTTTTGCTTTGCTTTATTTTTCAATTCATATTAGACTGATTTAATTGACATTTTGGTATTAGAATTCTGATGTGATTTTGTTTTTTCTAGAGAGGCCTTGTTGGCTGAGATGGGAGTTGCCATTCGGGAAGATGGAGGAACTCTGGGGGTTTTCTCACCTAAAAAGGTAGGAAATAATGTTGTGAAACTCAACCAGACAGAAACACTTTTTGTTTGTCTAGTCACTGGGGTGCTTCATGTCTTTTTGGGCTGACCCCTCAAAACCCCTCCCTCCCTTTTTTTAAAATCTTGAGACTTGGCCTGGCCGGTGTGGCTCAGTGGTTGAGCGTCAACCTATGAACCAGGAGGTCATTGTTTGATTCCCGGTCAAGGCACATGCCGAGGTTGCGGGCTTGATCCCCAGTGTGGGGCGTGCAGGAGGCAGCCAATCAGTGATTCTTTCTCATCATTGATATTTCTATCTCTCACTCCATTTCTCTCTGAAATCAATAAAAATATGTTATTAAAACAAAATCTTGAGACTTGGCTTACTCAATTTCAGATATTTCTGATTTCATCTTACAGCCCAAGGGCAACCTATTATATTTATAATTTACAAAATAAAACCCAAGGCAATAAATCTGTACCTTATGGTCATGATTCAGCATGTTTAATCTTCCTCATTGCTGCTTGCTCTTAAAGGCCCAGCCTAACCTGGCTTCCCTTGCTAATGTTGGGCTACTCTTTCTCTGTAGATTTTCCCACAGATGCCGGCAACCCTCATTTATAACTCTCTAGAAGCAATTCCAGCTGTTCAGAAAAAGAACCACTTTAGTGTGCTTCTACAATTTATGTTATAGACAACAGTGTACTGAGCAAAGCAATTCCTGTCCTCGTCCTTCTAGCCTCTGCTCCTTTACCAGTTACAAAAAAGGACTCCAGTAATTACCTTCCTACTTACATAATCATAGTTAGGAAGTAGTAGATATCTTTTAGTTAATTAGAATAGTAAGGTGTGTTGCTTGTTGTGTGTGTTGTTTTTTTTACCAAGTTGCTTCTTAGTTGTTGTTAGATATTGGAAAATATTATCAAGTGATTATTTTGTGTGCTTATTTGTGTAATAATAGAACATATTTGATGTACAAACCACATACTTCATACCAATAATAAACGGTCCTTCATTTAAGATGACCTCAAGTTGGCTGTTAAGAGACTTAAAGCCTTCACATAAGTGTGTTTTTTTTTACCAAGTTGCTTCTTAGTTGTTGTTAGATATCGGAAAATATTATCAAGTGATTATTTTGTGTGCTTATTTGTGTAATAATAGAACATATTTGATGTACAAACCACATACTTCATACCAATAATAAACGGTCCTTCATTTAAGATGACCTCAAGTTGGCTGTTAAGAGACTTAAAGCCTTCACATAAGGGTCTGATAGTGATCTCTCTAGGTTAGCATAGAATGGGTAGGGAGTTTCAGTTGGTACTTTTGTTTTATGTGATATAAAATATTTCTGTGATTTTTGCTAGGTTTCTTTTGGTTAAGTTTTTCACATAACTTTTAAAAATAAATGTCAGTGTGTTCTTTTTAACAAAGAAGATTGATTTAAAGAAATTTTAGGTATATATTGTAAAACTGGAGCAGTAGTAAAAGTATTGTATATGTTTGTATTGCCTAAGGTCAGTGATTTTCAGCTTAAAGGTTTTTCCTTCAGTAAGACATTATTTATTCAGATATATTACTTATGATTATAAAGAGTTTAGCAGTTACAGGTTTGCTAGAATTTAGAGTGTGCCTTTGCATATATCTATATCTTTATACACACAACACATATATATATTTAAGGATATTTTATAATATCTTTTAATGTTAGGAACTGTGATTATATGACATCTTGTAAAAATATGGTATTTAACACAAATCATAAATAACTTGAGTAAGAAAAAAAATAAATAACTTGAGTAAGTTTTGTGATATAAAAAGCACAGAATTCCAAACTGGCAGCTCTGTTTTAAAACCTTTTTTTTAACTTTAATTTTACCCATCCTGCTTTAACTTTCTGGACTTCCTCAGGAAACTAACTATATCCAAATTCAGTGTTAGAACCTGTTTCTGATGTGTTAACGTGATTGTGGTAATCATTGCACAATGTGTGCATATATAAAATTGACACATTGTACACCTTTTAAAAATCACGTTCAACTAAATAAATATAATTATTATCTGTCAATCATACCTCAGTAAAACTGGGAGGAGATTCCTTTAAAGAAGAAAAAAATAAAACCTGTTATAGAGATTCCTTTTTTCTTAGACCAGTGTCATGATGGGCCCTAAAGAATACTGCCCAAAGAGGCCTTTGACTCTCTCAAACCAGCAAACTTTCAAACTGCAGAGGCAGATCTAGTTGAGAAGATGTAGAGGTTTTTCTAATTTATTTTTAATCATCTTTTGCAGTTCCTTTCTTAACCTCTCATCTGCCTCTTCTTTCATTTTTCTACATTTGCTGACACTATCTTGAGTAGATTTTGACTCCAACACCTTGTGACTTATTTTTGGATTCCAGTGGGGTATTTTCACCAAAGAAGGTTGGTTTTTTAAAAGATTTTAGAAATATTAGAGTTAGATGAGAGTTTTTACATGATGTATGTATTATTTGAATGTCAGTAATTTTAATTTCTTCTTTAAGGTACAGACTAATTAATAAACTAAAGATAATAACAGACCATGGAAGAACTGATAAAAATTACAGAGGGAGATGATGGGAATGTGGGGAATTTTTTATACCTTATGATCTTATATGTGGAATCTGAAAAAAACACACACTAAATATCAATACAGAGAACAGATGGTGGTGAAGGACATTTTTATAAAGCAAATGAAAAATTAAATTTATTGGAATTGTAGGGGAGGAAAAATAATTTCCCCTCTACCCTTCTGAGTTCTTGGCTGAAAGCCCTGTAATAAAAGACAAATAGATTAACAGGAGAAAAACAAATAGAAGTTTATTAACATGTCTACCTTATGTATACATGGGAGATACCCAGGGGAAAATGACTAACTCCTTGATGTGGCTTAGAGTTCAGACTTAGATGTTATCGTCATAGGGAAGGGAGAGGGAAGATAGACCCCTGGGGGAGAGGAAATGGTTTTTAGGGTCCTTAGAAGAGTAGATGGGAAGTGGGGTAGACTGTGTGTGACAGTCTGTCCGGGTGTGGTGGTGACTTCTGGCTTCCTCTCCTGTGGTGAGAGTCCACCTTCCCTGTTAATGAAACTCCTGGAGGATTTATGACTATTGAGTTCCGTCAGGAGGGTCTGTATTGAGGCAGATGGGGGAGGTCAGAGAAAGCCTCTCTCTGCACTGGCTGCTTTTCAAGTGCCTACCGCTCAAAATAATATGTTAAAGTGGCATATTTTGGGGTGGCATATTCTGCTACCATTCAAGATTTTTGTCCAAGTGTTTACAAAAATTATAATTACCCATCCAGAGAATCAGCCTGTCCTAATTTTTCTTTTGTATTCTGAATGTTTTGACCTTATCAAGAACTGGATCTTGTTCTTTATCTCAGAACTCATGTTCTTGGGTATTGTATGAGTGCAGTTTGGGAGGCCCGGAGAGAGTATTTTCTATGTATGACGGAATTGCAACTTGGAGGGAAGGCAGTCTCTTTTCCAGCGCCTGTGGGTAACCCAGGAAACCCTCAGCCTCCTGGTCACAGCTCTCAGGGCGCTTGTTCCAGCTAATCTGTAACCTTTTTCAGACCCCACATCTTGTTAACCTCAATGAGGACCCACTGATGTCGGAATGCCTGCTTTATTACATCAAAGATGGAATTACAAGGTATGTTTGTTTCTTTTGGTCATTTAATTTTTTTTTTCTCTTAGATGATTGAATAAAGGGAAGTTATTGAAAAATTTCTTGTAATGATTTGATTTTCCCACCTGAAATAGATACAGAGTATCCTCTCTGCTCTTCCCAAATTATGTGTCTTAGCCAGCTGAACCAGTTAACATGTAGTTTTTCCCTAAAAGACCCTAAGTAAAAATTTTCCTCCTTACATCTTACATAAATTCATTAGGTAGATTAGCTCACTCATGTCTTTGTATAATGCTGTGTGAGATACATTGGTAAATCATTGTTCCTTGGTTTCTTATTCTGATGTAGGGAAGTTGCCCATATTTGAAAATAGAATGTGCAGTTGAAAGCCTCTGATAAAAAAAAGTGGCACCTTTTTTGTATGTACAAAGAATATTCTTTGGGAGAAAGAGGTTTATTGTTTGTAGTGCTTTTTGTGTCTGAATTTCCCTGGGAAACACTTTCCCTTGTGTTCAGGGTTGGCCAAGCAGATGCTGAGCGGCGCCAGGACATCGTGCTGAGTGGGGCTCACATTAAAGAAGAGCATTGTATCTTCCGGAGCGAGAGAAACAACAGTGGGGATGGTGAGAGTCCTTGGCTTAGCTTTCCCAACAACTTTTCATTCTACATTATGGGAAGTCCATGCACCAGACCTGGTATTCCCTGTCTCTTTCAGCGATACTTGCTTATACAATCCAATATTTGAAAATGGAGAAACCTGGGCTGCGTACAAATGTAGGGACGGACAGAGCTACTTTGCATGAAAATAGCTTGGACAAAAGGAGCCCTTTGTTACTGCCAAGAGCTAAGCAGGACATAGGCAGTTAGGCTTGGTCTTGAATGTTAATTATTTGATAGGCAAGTAAGAAGGGAACAAATATTCTGGGTAGTAGGAGATTGGAAAGACCTCTAGCCTTACTCCAGTAGAATTTTATCTAAAAAGAAAGAAAAAGTCAGTCTTGTATTTTGTACAGGTTATTAACAAAACAACAGCAATCTAACCATATTTTTGTGCTGTATAATTCATTCATTCCTTAATCAAAATATTAGCTTTTGATTTTAAGCTTCTTATTATGACCTATATTTCATACATAAGATTTCTGATGGTTTACAGTTTTATAGATTGAACTATCAGATATCACCAAAACTGAGATTTTATATCTTCTGAGGTTTGTCAAGTTAATTTAAATGTTTCTATCTTAGCCACAGCCCTGGTTATGGCACCCTAAAATAAACTATTATATGATGCTCAGCCACTTGGTCGGTTACAGGAATCTATTCTAGTTACCCTAAATCCTCATAGTCATCTACTTTCCATTATTTTATTCCAGTGGTTTGTGATACTAACATTAATTTGCATTCCTCTTAGTTATCGTGACTCTGGAGCCTTGTGAACGCTCAGAAACCTACGTAAATGGCAAGAGGGTGGCCCACCCTGTTCAGCTGCGCTCAGGTGAGAGTGGGACAGGTTTGATCACATGGCTTGTGTGAGCAACTCTATAATTTTTTTTTTAATTCTCAGCCAAGAATATTTTTCCCATTGATTTTCAGAGAGAGTGGAAGGGAGGGTAGGGGAGAGAGAAACATCGATGTAAGAGAAACACATCAATTGGTTGCTTCCCGCAAGGGCCTCTACTGGAGCTAGGGATCAAACCCACAACCCAGGGACCTGCCCTTGACTGGGAATGGAACCTGTGACCCTTAGGTGCATGGGCCAATGCTCCAACCACTGAGCTCACCGGCCAGGGTGGAACTCTATAATTTTTGAATTTTTGTTTAAAGGCTGAAGTGATAGCATTAGGATTTATGTTCTTGTAAAATCTCAAAAGCTGTCTTTTTGCATTAAGGAGAGTGAGGTTATTTACTGAGATACTATACATTTAAAAAGTGGTTTCTTAACTTTGTGTTGTTTTGTGATAGGAAACCGTATCATCATGGGCAAAAACCATGTGTTTCGTTTTAACCACCCTGAGCAAGCACGGGCTGAGCGGGAAAAGACTCCTTCTGCTGAGACCCCCTCTGAGCCTGTAGATTGGACATTTGCCCAGAGAGAGCTTCTGGAAAAACAAGGAATTGATATGAAACAGGAGATGGAGAAAAGGTAGTGTACAAATGTGATGTGGCCCAAATGACTGCCGCTTCTTTTAAACATCGAATAGTAGTATTTATAAAACAGCTCAGTGATTTCACCATGTATTCTTTTCCCCTCTTGGTTTTCTTTTTCTTCTAGGTTGCAGGAAATGGAAATCCTATACAAAAAGGAGAAGGAAGAAGCAGATCTTCTCTTGGAGCAGCAGAGACTGGTAGGAATCCATCCTGAATCCTCTTTAGGAAAAGGGCAGCTTGCTCTCACACCTTCCCTGCCCCACAGATGAGCACTCGCCCACATGGCCTATCCATCTCTCACTGATAGCACACACTTTTCTCTTACTTCCTTAATGGAGAGTGGACTTACAGCTCCTGGTAGCCTGAGCCTAAAAAATTGTTCATAAAGGTGCTATTTTGTGCCTTTTATCAAGTCTTCTGTCAACACCAAGTGCTATAGTGGGAGCTTTTCGGTAGCCTTTGCCTCTTGGTAGTGGTTTTTGAGTATGCATCAGTGGTGGTTCTTTGAGTGGTAATTACTCTACATATTGAATTTGGTGGGCGTTTGCCTTGGTTTTGTTTCTGATCACCTGATAGTACTAATTCTCTGCTCTTGGGCTGACCTGGGGGTTGTTCTCGTGCTGGGCAGACTTTTTTTTTTTTTTTTTTAGTTAAACTGTGTCTAAAAGTGTTGCTGCACAGTTGCATGTGTTAATCCTTTTCTGTTCCCCTGCATGGAGTCTGCATCCTCAATCAGGGTCCTCAATCCCCGTGGCATGTGGGATGACAGTGGAAGCAGGGGCTGTACAACCAACCCAGATAGGAGAGGGAAGCCTGGTTTCTCTGAGCAGCTGAAAAGTTGATTTAAGGTTGCAACTTATAATGCTAATGGCTTTAGCCTTTTATGCTGTTAATTGATTTTCCAAGTTTGGTAGAAACTAAATCTTATGAATAAATAAGTTAATTCATTAGTTAGATTTTCATTAGAAATTTTAAAAAATATCTTTTTATTGATTTTTAGAGAGAAAAGAAGGGAAAGGGAGAGAGAGAGACATTGATGTGACAGCAAAACATCAAGAGCCTCCTACATGCCCCCTACTGGGGATCGAGCCCACAACCTGGCATGTGCCCTGACCGAGAACCTAACCAGCAACCTTTGGTGCACGGGACAACGCCCAACCATCTGGGCCACATTGGCCAGGACTAGATTTTCATTTTTAAAGCCATCCAGTTTTGGTTAATAAAGCCCTTGTTATAAAGAAACTTCTTGGCATTCACTTGATATGTGAAGAAAATGCATATAATAAACCTTCGGGTACTAAGGATGCAGTTTAGGAATTTTCCAGTTTTTAAGATTCTTGAATGTCTTTTAAGATAAGGTTAGCATAAATTACAGCATGTAAAACACTGCACATAAACTACAGCCTTATAGCCATGCTCTGCTTTGGAGAAGAGAGGCTACTGCTAAATGGGCCAGAAAAGCCAAGGGCTTAAGCAAAGGCAGCCTTTTTCAGGGCAACTCACTTCGGAGGCTTGGCAGTAGTTAACCAGTTCATTTGTTAGCTTGGAAATTATAATAAAGTCCCCCTCATAATGGATTGTAAGAATAAATCAAGTGTCTGGGGCAAGATAATAGCAGTGTTAACATATAGAGAGTCTATTTAGGAGGCCTAGGTAGCATTTAGTTTTTAGTAAAAACGGAAAGATTTAGCTAGAATGTGATTAAGGGCTTGAAAGGTTTACAACACATAAAGGAGTCTTTTATCTTAATAATGTAGTATAATCTAATAACATGCCTCTGATGGTCTGTGAGAGATCAAACGAGGACAGGTATAATTAAGCTGTGTTTATTATTATAGATAGTGCCTTGTAATTAATTGTATAGTGCTTTATAATTTACAGAGAGCTTTAACATCCATCACTGTTTTTTTTTATTCCTGAAACAACTCTCTTTAGTAGAATTGTATATACATAAAATGAGGACTATTACCTCCAGCTGAGGAAACTAAGGCTGAACAATACTGTCTTTCCCACTCTTAAAACCTATTATGTCATGGGTTTGACGCTTAAACTTGGGTCTTCTGACTTACTTCACTGTCCTGTTCAGTAAAGCAGTACTTATCAGCTACCTAGGAGTCTTGTTAAAAAGCAGATGCTGATTCAGCAGGTCTGGGTGCGACCTGAGATTCTGCACTTGTAACCAGCTCCCTGGGGATGCCCATTCTGCTTGTTCTGGGACCAACTGATGAGTAGCTGGGTGGGAAAGAATGATGGCTGGTACTCTCCATAACCAGGAGCTGGTGATCATTCTGTGCTCTGAAGCAGTGGTGCATTCACATAGATGAAGTAAATGTCTCTAAGACATGCTTAGTTTCCAGGGGCATACTTATTCTGCAAGTAGTCAGGTTCTGGTTGCCATTTGATCTGTGTATCTCAAAGCAAGCTAGGATTTCAAGAGCAGGTCCTCCAAGCAAGGAGGCTGCTTTCCTCCCACAAGTCCAACTCTGTATTCCATTTAAATGTCTGTCTTCAAGAGGAATTGATTTCTAATGCTTTAGCCTGAAGAGTACCTAGTAGTAACAGTACTGAAATGGGAAATGTATTTTTATCTTTCCTATATTGGTCAACCAACAGATACATTTTGAATGTGCCCTATGAATAAACATTGAGAGGATATAAAAGACTTATTTTTCAGTAAATATCTTTACATATTTGTTATATGTAATCATTTTTGCATAACAACAGCATTAAAAAACAGAGTTTTCTGTTACCATAGTTCCCCATACGGTGCGTCACACTGTTATATTCTCTTGTAGTTAGTGCCCTGTTGTACACCTGGTCCTTTTCATGCTTGCTTTCTACACATGCGTTTTGGGTATCTTCTCTCTTCTATTTGTATCAGCTTCTTGCAGAGTCTTTTCAGGAGGCCTACTTGGCATTTGGTATTTAAGGAAAACGGAAGGATCTTTTAGTGACATGCGAATTGGCCAAACCTGCGTAGTTTTTCCAACCCTCTAATAAATGAATCTAAATATCTTTTTTTTTCTGACATGAGATAGAATTTACATCTTGGCATATAAATTTTGCATACAGACTTAATAGTATCATGGTCAGTATGTGAGGGGGTATATTTGAGCCATATGGCGAACATAGTCTACAAAGTCAGTATGACCATATTTTAAAAAGAAGAAATTATAGCCACTTGATTTAATATGAGTTCTTTTGGATATGTAGACTCTAATTTATGTTTTATTTTGGAGTTTTATCTATCAATAGGTTATTAAAGCAATGACTTATTTCCTAAATTAGGTAGTAGTCACTTAATCCTTAAGCAATTTCAAAAAGAAAAGGAGTCAGGAAAAAAGTGATAGTTGTCAATTATGTGGGAAGAATCAGAGAGAGTTTGTTTTGTAAAACTCAGTTTCTACATATTTTCAGGAAAACCTTTTTATGAGTCAGACATACTTTTTTCTCTAATATTAATATCATCTTTGTCACTTAAGATTAACCATTCTGTTTTTTTAAACTAAAAATGAAAAATAAATAGTCTAGAATCTATAAATTTAACTTTATCTGCTTTTTGTTGCCAAATTTTCAAGTAGGTGGGGGTTAGATGTTGGTTTAGTATCCATTTATAGACCAATATAAATCAATTGAAACAACTCCAGATTCAGGGACCAAATTATTGTCATTGTTAAAGGTTACTTTTTGTCCCTAGAAAGTAACCATACATGGAAATTTTGGTATAGCAAGCAAAATACTATTTATCAGTTTTTATTTTTAAAAACCTTTACTGGAGATAATTTTGGTAGTTATAGCCAGGTAAAGGAGACTAGTAAGTAAGAATATTTTCATTTACTCGGCTAGCTTGAACTATTCAATGAGTAGTGTCTTTTCTCAGGAACTTTTATTTCCTGGATAGAAATTCTTTCTTAATCCTGTTCATCATAGGGAATTGTAAATCCAACCTTGCTTTCATTTAGATCCATGTTATCAAGATTTGCTTGTGTTCGTTAAGAATAATTGGTTATTGTCTAAATGGTTATTATCCCAAATCAGGCTGCAGTTTTAGGTCTAAGTAAAATGTTTTGAAAAAGAAGTAGTGGTGCAAAGGTAGCCAGAAAGAAAGTTAGAGAAAACATTTTAAAGTGGATCCATTTCACATAAAGTGGAAGAATTGTCACTTAAAGTGATATTTCTCAAATAGCTAGAAATGCCATGGGTTTTCACAGAAAACATCTCTAAGTTGTATTTATTAAAATATTATTTGGAGACCACCACCACCACCAAGAAAAAAAAATTACTTGGAGAATCTTAAGATGTTAATAAAAGTATATTTGCCTGATTTAATTTATGTTCTAGAAATTTGTTTCTTAAAATTTTGGAGGTGAGGTATTTATTGATTCAAATGTGAAAAACAAAATAGACCCACTATAAGGACCCTCTTATGCTTTCTTGCTTTCTGGATAACACCTCTAATTGTATAAGTGAAATGGATCAATTTGACATGACACAAGAACATAGCAAATCCAACATATGCTCACGGAAAGACTAGTTTCATAACCCTCTTGTCTTCTAGAAAAACAATTTGGTTGATGAGAATTCACATGGTCTGTTAATAGAGATTCTTAGCATTTTTAACATCATACCTATTTGCTTCTTTTTCTACTTTCTTGTCTTCTAACTTTTTTCTAGGGCTGCTCTTTTTAGTAAAGCTAAACAGAACGTGGCCTCCTACAGCCTTTACTAACCTTTGTTAATCTGCCTGCTTGTCACATCTTGTATGGCATCTGTGCTCACTCATGGGGAAAGAGTTTCTGGACGAAGCAACAGCAATAACCAAGGCAAATGTGGGGAAGTGGCTGCTTGAGTGTTAGCATGAATGGGGTGTAGGTTTTACTTCATATTCTTGAGATGGTGGAGATGTTATTTTATACCATTTTCTTAATAACTTCATATGACCTTAGAGTGAGAGTCTCACTCATGGTGTTCGTCTCCCTAAGAAATTTGCTTGCATATTTCATCACTTATGCCAGAAAGTGAAAATTTGGATTAGTGTTACTAAACAAACAAACTAATCTTTATATTAATAATAATCTACATATGCATATGTCTTAATAGACTTGCACATCATTTCAGGTTTTTGTTTTATAGGGGTTTGTTTTGTTTTTATATTTGGTTAAGGCTTTTTTGCTTGCTTTTTCTTCAATTTGATTTT